TATACATATATGCATATGAGAGAATAAGAGAGAGAGAGAGAGAGAGAGAGAGAGAGAGAGAGAGAGAGAGAGAGAGAGAGAGAGAGAGAGAGAGGTTGGCTACCGGGGACCAGAACTACGTTATTGATTAACGTTTGACCGTAATATGACACGCAGTAGTCAACCTCTTCATTCGTAGGCTGAGAAAGCGGTCGAAAAGGCGAACCTGGCGACAAGAACATAATGACATTAAAGCAGACATTTCATACATGTATACATATATGCATATGACAGAGAGAGAGAGAGAGAGAGAGAGAGAGAGAGAGAGAGAGAGGTACATCAAACTTCTTTAACGACACGTTCAGCCACGACTTTACACCTCTTATAGAGTGCCCTTAGCCGCTCGTTGATGTGGACTCCTTTCTTGCAATGCTGACAATCGATGGCCTCCGCACGACGCTCTGCGTTTGCTAGGACCTTCGACATCATCTATTTTACAAAAGAAATGAGATGGGATATACAGTCCGCCACGAGCCTTGCCATTTGTCGTTTATTCGCATTTGACACGAACTGTTCAAATATTTTCGTGGTCAGAGGTACTACAGACTCTTCATTGCTTGTCAACGGTGCTTTGCTGGCGAGGACGCAAGGGAAATTGTATCGAATTTCATGACATTGAAAGGAATTGATATCTTTGCAGTCTAGCAACAAGTGTGCCGCTGACTCACAAACTCTTCGACATGTGTTGATATCGCACATTCGCATTGTCAGATCATCTTCCTGACTTGCATTCGCGACTTGTGCATTGTATGTTTTCATGGTTTCTACGGGGTTCGGCGTTACAGACAATTGTCCCGATACCAGGCGACCTCTGCTGTACTGAAGAGAACATACAATATCGGCGCAGCTGTTGAACAAGTTCTCATTAAGGCCATCGCATCCCGTATGTGCACCATCAGTCTGCAGTCGATGGTTAAGAGTGTATTGCTCTATGGTCTCCGTGCAATGACGGATGCAGTCCTCGGCAAAAGACAAGAGGTCTACAAGACTTTTCGACGAGGCTGTCAGCGGACCGCTATTCAGTTCCTCACTATCGTAAGACGCCCATCCTTCCCTGACAACGCATTTGTCCGCAGAGGAACAACATGTGACATCCCATTCACAAGCGTTTTGTGTTTTGGCACCGAATGCAGTGTCCGCGTAAAGAAGAAGGTTTTTCCGATAGGATTTAAGATTAGCAAGCATAATCTGGTACTCCTCAAACGTGCCCTTCTTCTCCTTGGCGATTTTTTCGAGTTCTTTGGTCATCCCCTCCCGCAGATCCGTCACAAGAGACTACGGATCGGGCAACAACAACCAGAATATGCTATACAATCTATGTTCCGCAGTCTCTGTCATTTCCGCGAGTGAAAGTTCCACATGGGCTATCTCGTCTCGCGTCTGGGTGACCAACTGTTTCTGCTCGATTACTTCAGCTGTCAGTTTATCTATAACTTCTTGCTGCTTTTCAACTATCTCAGCCCAGCTCTCATCGATTAAAGCCTGTGTTTCATCTTTGCCCCCCCAAGGTGCATATAGATCTGAAGATCGTTCGCACTCTATCTCTTCTCCTGCCTTTCGTTTGTCTCCGACTTTCGACATTCTCGATATCTGGAAAGGCGTA